ATGTTCATATTTCAAAAATATCAGTATATTACAAAATGTAAAATATTTTTCATAATATTAAATAATTTTAAAGTTTATCCCAAAAAATATTAAATAATTTGGAAAACTTAACCAACTATATTAATTAGAGGCCTTAATTAGAGAGACAAATAAACAAACAAGTTAGAAAATATGTTAATTGTAAAGGCTACACAAGTGCTAAGTGCTAAATAATCCGAGACATTTCATTGGTTTCCATGGCAATCACACCTTATTTAGCACTTTGCCCCAGAACAGCACCATAATTCTCCTCCGTAATGCCCGTAAAGTCTCAAATTGGGGGAACATTTTAGGCTGATATGTTTTTCATAGATTTATTATGAATAATTTTGTCCCATTAATATGTCTTCTTTCATGTATAGTTTTAATTAGAAAAAAAAATATTGTTATATATTGTATTAACATAAACTGCATGTCTATTAAATATGTATATGTTAAAAATGAGGATTATGCTTATAGTACATATTGGGGTACAAAATCAAGTTCTCAAAATTAATTTTAGTTTTAATTTTGCTTTTTTGATTTAGCTGTCATTTTCTGTATTCACTTCTATAAACTTATAAGTAATGGTTGTTACATTCAATATTATCTAGCTAAATAAAATAATTTATATCACTACTATATTACATCATTAAATATGTTTTACCTGTTTTAAGTGTTATTTCTAAGTTGATTTTAGGACCAAAATATGTGATGTAAAACTAAATTGTACAGTCTAATCCTGTTGTGCATCAATCAAAGACTTGAAGGGGACCACAGACTCATTTTGCCAGAGGGCACAGGTGGGTGGCAGTCCAAACCTGTGATATACCTTCTGCCAAATTAATCTACTCAAGAGGTGCTGTGAGTTACAAAGTGTTTGCTTCCTTTTACCCAAAGGCTTATACAACACATCTTGATTCCAATTCTTGAAAAAGATCAAAAGATAGTGTTATAGGTTTGTGTGCCTCTGACTTGCAGGCAGTGGACAAAAAGTTGGTGCATGTAAGACATTAATTGTTTCACAATTGCACTTTTGACAATATTTCATCCGACAGAAGAGGGACACTTGTTTTAGACGGGTGTAATTCTGATTGTGAATAGTGAGTTCAACATTGCCAATAATTGCAGTTGACTTCATGACATACTGACAGCTATTTATATAATTAAGTAATGTACTTATCTTTCGTCTGTTTTTTGTAACAGGAATTATTTTTTGCTGTAACAAGGATCACGCCTGCAGGAGAAGCTTCGATTCCTCTTTTTGATCACAGATTGTTTAAAGTTGGAATTAGTAGGTAAAGGAACACAAGGGGTTGCTCCATAACAACTGCTTTGAAATTAAGTTTAGGGATTAAACCATTTCCGAAAGGATTAATGCTAACGTTGATTTTCCAGCGCCAACCCTCCCTCTAATCGTCCAAATCTGTTTTCTCTAATTCTGATCAAGGATGCATGGCCTTCTTCCAGGCAGGGGTGCCGATGATTGGTTTAGATCAGTCAGCTGATGCTCCAAATTAATTAGTAGTTCCATATTCATAAAAATGGCATGTACATAGGGTTGCACTATGAATCACAGACTACTACAGCTCATTGGATGTAGTTGAGCGTATTGGGCTGTAGGTGGGCCTAGAACAGGTATGTTAGGGTTACATTACCCTGTAAACGCCTTTACATATAAAGTAAGAATAAAGAGTTTTATTTATTCAAACTTCTTTCTAAACATATTTACTGCAGTTTAATCATATATTAATGAGAGGTCTATTGCTGAATCCCATTGACACACTTTTACATGACAAATATCTGGGACTCGCAAAAAGATGGAAATTGGGGAACAGAAGCGTTACACTAGGAATTATACAGTCACGCTAGCTAGTTAAATTGAAAAATAAAAATATAAAATATAAAAAAATATAAAACCTGCTTGATACAGTTACTTGCAAAGACCACTGTTAATAAACTAAACAACCTGCTAGGTCGCATGAGAGGTGGTGTTAGTGTGCCTTTCATCAGAGCTCCGGACAATAGTGTTACTGAAAGGTCAAATCAGATGTTCATGAAATTAGGTCTGTAGTAAGAGTGGTTCTTTTCCCTTATCTATTCGAGATTCCCTCCAAATTCTACCACCATTTACCCACCTAGTAAGTGAACCTTGACTAAAATACAGCCGTTCAACGTGTTCATGAATAAACCATTGTGCTGTATTTATCAGTCGACATGCCACACTTTTTGTTGATAGGTAACCATATGGCAGAGGGATCCCTTTTATATAATACTGGTCTCTTCGTTACAAGATATCTTATGACTCTATCTTTCATTTGGGAAACAAATATCGCATGTTTATGGCTTTGTAATCCACTGCTTCAGGTAAAGGACTCGGAAACTGGAGACGCCATCTAATATTACAAATAAAAAAAATAAAAAAAACTTAGATTTGAAAAAAATCCATTCCGATAGATAAGTGGTCCTTTTAGGAAAGCAATATATGCATGTTTTAATAAAGCAATTTAAAGTGTTAATCATTGGTTTTACATTTTAAAATATATATTACAAACCATTAGTTATATTGATGATGTCCCTCTACACAAAGGTATGTCAATTTCCCCTCATTTCAAGCTTATTGCTAAGCATACAAACATATTTTGCATGATTACATGTACTTAAGGGACATCGTGTGGTGCTGCCCAGTCCACTGGGCATTTGCATTATGTAATTAATAAGCAGTATGCGTCCTGCTAAAATGCACAATTTTTAGAACACAATTTTCCTACTTCTGTATCTACAATTGGTTAAACCATTTCTTCTTTCTTGACTATGTATGGCTACATTATGTTCCTTTATTTATAGAGCATCAAAAATATTCTGTAGCAGTAGTATAGTATAATAAAAAAGCTGACATATGAACTGAAAATTTTGGGGAAAAAATCACCACGAAGGAAAGGAACTGAATTGTGACCCTTGCCATACAATATTATATATCATTATTTTGTTTTTCGATTTAGCTATTTTTGGCCTAATAAAGTTCTGAGTTTCAAAAATAGGAACAAACCAACACAGCAAATTTTGAGAGCCATTGTTCAAATTTAGAATCTATACAAACGCGTAGATATAGGACCATAGAAGATTAATGCAATCCTACAACTGTAAATAATATATATATATTATTATTTTTAGCCCTCAAAAAATGGTTTGCTATTACCAGTTTTGCTGCTTTCAATTTATGTATTTTTATTTTAAAATAATATTTCCACTACGCTACTAAATTATTATATGTATGTGGAGCTGTAGGATATTGCAGATTATCTGTAAAACAGAATAGATACAAACAAATAGCGCAATATGTCTGTAGAATACTGTAAAACAGAATAGATACAAACAAATAGCGCAATATGTCTGTAGAATACTGTAAAACAGAAGTAAGGAGTGGTTTAACTCACAAGGCAAGAGTCATACCGTCATATGACTCGAATAGTATGCTTCCTTGGACCATTTAAGGGTTGTCCAGATCCTTCTTTTGCTGGATTCTTGGTGATTCCCCTTGTGTTCCTTAATGGGTGACCCAAGGAATACCCAATATAGAAGTGGTCCTTTAATGCTAATATTTATTTCTTCAATCAAAAATTTTTTTTTCTACAACATAAAAAGAAAAGAAAAATAGATGCATATACCAGATAGTTCTGGATAAGTATAATGGTCCTATTAAAAGTCCAAATGTAAAGACCAAAACGCGCTTCACCTGCCCTGTATTCTACAGACATATTGCGCTATTTGTTTGTATCTATTCTGTTTTACAGATAATCTGCGATATCCTACAGCTCCACCTATTATATTGTATGTATTGCTATGTGTTTGTAAGTGGTGTAGGGGATACCACTTTATAGGTGTATTTGAGCTACTTCATTTTCTTTTTCCCACATTGTGTACATATCACTTTGTATTATTATTATATGTATGTATTTGTATTATACTAATAAAACTCAAATTAAAAAAATGTATTCCTCAAATCCTTTGTAAACCCTGAGCGGTATGAAATTTGATTGAGTGACAGTGAACACAAGGTCATCTGCATTGGCACTTAACTTGTGATTCAGTGACCCAAAGCCATAACCCCTTAATGTCACTATTGCCACGGATAGCATCCATGAAAAATCACAAAGCTAGCAGTACAATGAATATATATATATATATATTTATTTTTTAAAATTCTTTATTTTTGTGTGCATAAAGAATACAAACATGCTGGTAATGTCACAATAGCAGATACTGGCAACTCATGGTTAACATAAATATGGCATAGAATAAAACGGCACAATTTTTATAATAACCAGACTTTACATTGGGTAAAACATTACAGAAAAGAGAATAGCGAGTATAGCATATGAGTAGTTGTCGAACACAATAGGGTCTTATACTCCTGATGGAACAGTCTCCTTTTTAGTGTATATTAAGCCTGCAAGACTAATATGTCAAAGTGTCCGGTTGAGCGAAATGTGAGACACGCTGAGCATATTGGACACATAGACATGTAATATAGAGTGTGATAAGTTGCGTATGGGTCACAGGCTAGTTTTTCACGAGTACGTAGACTAGAGTATTGTAACATGTTTGGTTGACAGGCGAGCTTAGGTGCCAGGGTAGACGAACAGGGAAGCAACACCTCACAGGTGTATGTGCAAGTGTGAAATTAGCGAGATAGGGTTTGAAAATGGTTTTACAGAGTGGTAGCATAAAAGACAATACAACCTCATGGTTAATAAGATACTGGGCATTGGAATCAGTAAAAAAAATACGAACTGGCAATGCACTTAAGGCAAAACTGCAGAAATGAGGCTAAAGAAAAAAAAAAAAAAAATGAAAACCATGCTCAGCTGCAGTAAAAAGAGTCCTCGGCAAACAAGAATAAGATATAACAGCAGTGTAGTGGTGTCCCAGTTAAACGTTAAGTGGTTGTGGGACACAGGTAGCCAGTTTATATTAGGCACTCAACCAACTCCAGATCTCAAGGCACGCGGCCTGGTAGCAGGGATCAGCTCGGCGATATGGTGCAGCCAGCCACTCAGTGAGATGCAGGAGGGCGTTGCAGCCGCAAGGTCAGGGCTCCGCTCCAGTAAGGTGGATCTGGTAGCTTGAGGTGATATGCTTAAGGAGGCATACTGCAGATCGTAATACCGACGTGCAGGTAGGTGAGTCGGGTCTCTCACTGTATTTGGGGTTCGACACTGCACCTCAGAATGATGTAGCACTCCAGCTTGAAGTAGCGAGTATGGTTTCTTCTGAGCCACCATGTGTCTGGGTAAAGTGCGGTGCCTGACTCTCCGGCATTTTGCAGCCCTCAGAGCTGGTGGAGCTGCAGGCTTGGGAAGGATTCTCTGAGGTAAGTAGGTCTCCGCTTGCCGTGGGGCAGAATGGAGCTTCCGACTTTTCAACTGCTGCCAGAAGTTGGAGAAGAGTCGATCCAGCCTGGTGAGGATGTTGCCTCGAGCATCGCTGGTGTGTGTAGCCCACGTGGCCTCTGCCATTTTAGGTAAGGTGACGTGTGGCCCACCTGCTCTCCAGTCTGCACATCGAGTCCCTGCCTGAGCTGGGTATTCCCCCAGGGGAGGACCGGGATCACCCTCGCCGGTCCAAGTGGGGGGGGGCAATGGGATACTGACTTTAAGCTGTTAGCCTCTGGGTACCTCTGGTTCAGGAGCTCGTCTGCCACTCCCACCCGGCGCACATTAGGCCGCGATTGCCATGGTGCAGCTCAGGATCTCCCGATGGGTCACTGAACACTTGCCCGCCTGTCTGGCATGTCGGCCATTGCAGACTTAATTTGTTTTGTCCCTAATCGAGCAGTAGCAGGCTCTAAAAATGCTTTAAATCGCAGGTCAATGGAGGAGGTCAATCAGGACACGTCTGCTCTCCATGGCAGACAGGCCACGCCCTCAGAATATATATTTTTTAAACTCATAGCCACCTTTGCCATCAGTTCCACTTCAAACCATACCTTAAGATAGGGTCTCAGATTAAGAATGGAGAATTTTACCTGATTTATTGAATCAGGAAGGGTATAAACCTTACCCTTAACAATAAAAATATACAACGCGTCTGCACTGAACACAAAAAAACATCAAATGCAATGTCACATATTGCACACCACATGCAAGCACATACAAACATTACAATTGGATTTGCCAAATATGCATCCATTTACAGTGACAACTTGCAACGTTTGAGACTAAAACAGATTGCAAGCAATGCAGAGTAAACAGGAAAAGCAGATTACAAACTTTTTAGGCGACAGTGGATAAAACATTGCGGATCCATCTAATGTTTTAGAAGGTACAGAGTTTATTAACTAAATGACAAATTGTGCTAAATTAATAAGTGAATCATAAACACAGAGAGTTAGTCTCTTTCAGGAATTGAAAAAATTGAAAGAAAATTTTAAATGTAAGGCAAACGAAATACATAGCAGACTTTTTAAATTTCAGCTAATTTGGATTAAAATATAAAATCATTGACTGGGTTGAAATTTCTCTATTGTTCAGAGTTTATTACTGTTATTTTAGCTGATAGTTTGCAATTTGGCTGCCAATTCATTACAATTTATGAATAAAAATACCGAAGATTAAAATTTTTTTTTCCAACTTCTCTATTTTGGACTAAATTTAGTAAATTCACACTTATTCTCTGAAAAAAAACCCTTTGACACTGTTGTATCTTCTCACAAGCGCGAGGCCGGTAAAATGACAATAGTCCTGCTAGAGTAAGGGAAAGCTGGCCAGGGCAGGAAGGTAGGTAGACATTTGCCTCCTGTTCTACTCAGATTTCAAAATATTTGTCAGCAAAATGTGTTGCTGGCTGCCACATTGGTGGGAAATAAAGCTGAAAGCAGCTGGTGGCCCCTGGTCATTAGAAATAACCTATTTTTGTCATGTGAAGTAGATTGTCTGGGGTACCTTTCTTCACAGCTTGCAAATCACACGTATCAAGAGTGGAGACAAGGAATATATTGGTTTTGCACATTACTTTTACATTTTTACTGCTTACTATTGGCTACTATCTCGTAGCAATAAGTGGAACAACCAAGACAAAATCAAACAGCTTTATTGCTGTTGCAAAATACACACAGCTACACATACACACACAGCTACACACACACACGGCCGGTACAAGGGTTTCTGCCGCCCTAGGCAGAGATCCATTTTGCCGCCCCATCATGTCACTCACTCACTGACAGACACACACTGGCAGACACACACACTCACTGACATACACACACATAGAAACTCACTGACAGACATACACTCACTCACTGACAGACATGCACATAGACACTCAATGACAGACATATACTCACTCACTGACAGACACACACACACACACACACACACACACACAAACAGACAGACACTCACTAACATACATGCACTCATTCACTGACAGACACACACACACACACACAGGCAGACAAAGAGATTTAGAAAGCCTGTCATGTCTTTTCTATGTTAATATGGCTTTTTACTAACCCTTAGTTATACTGACGATGTCCCTCTAGCCAAAAATATACAAATTTGTTTCATGTGATCTCTATATTATAAGGTAAGGTGCAAAGGCGGTCTTATATTTTTTTCTAGTTTATTCCAGATTGACGTTTAATATATTTTATATATATTTATTAAAAAAAAATAATAATACTGTTTCCGACATTTAATCTGAATTAACATGTGAATTTTAGCAGATGTTTTATAGTAGGTGAATAACGCCTCCAAAAAAAAAAAAAGCATTGCGAAGCAGGGTACTCTGGCAGACGTAGGGTTAATTAAGGTTTTTTAGCAAACCCCCCACCCCCCCTTTGTCTACAGACTGGCCTAATAAAGTCTCTCTGCTCTGGATATTGTCAATTGCTACAGTGGCCAGATGGCTTTGCACAACAGAGACACATACCCAAGCCAAACTCAAGGTTTATGCCTGCTGCACTGGTGCGTTTTCCCAAGGGAAACATAGACAGATATGCCGCCATCCTCAAATTATATTAAAAAAAAAATCTGACGGTCGTAAACTTTAGATGCTCCCACCTATGAACATTTTTAGAGTATTTAAAAATGGTGTACGGGAATCAACCTCCTATGCTTTATCTATGGCAAGTAAAATTATCGTTTTACTACGTGTTTGCATTTTTCACTGTTCAACATTTCAAAAAAGAAACATTAAAAAGACAGACAGACAGTAATACAGACAGATATTTGTATCCGGGCCTCAAACTATATAAAAATAAATACGCAGTTAAAATAAAATCTCAGTGTTATGTGTTAATATATATATATATATATATATATATATATAGATTGGAAAAATAAGGGACGAGCTGATGAAGCTTGGTTTCCATCCATCCTAAATTGAACGCCTGCATCTCATTTGCAAATTCCCCCTTTTATATCCCGTTGCCATCTGTCCTTTTTACCAATTGCTTATCCTTTTCTTTCATTACAGATTCTCATCTTCTGTCTCTCCTGGTCACACAATACACTGTAAGGGGCGATATCTCAAGATTATGCCATAGCATTGTCTGACTTCAGCAAAGAGCATTTTGCTCTAATACAGAGGGGTAATTGACTGGTCAGGAAAAATTATGAGCGTCAGTCCTGGTAACAAGCAATTTATAATAATAATTTTTTCGTTATCACAGACAAAACGTAAAACTTCAAATAATTAGCATTTATAATGGAAAATAGAAAGGTTTCTTAAAATGTCACAAAAAATAACTCTTCCAGGAAGAACGCTATACAAAAACTGTTGGTATACCTTTTATGGTTTATTTAACTTATTTATATAAATTATTATATGGTGCGTATTAAAAGCATTAAAATTCAGAAATTGCTAAAGAAAGTGGCCAATTCTGGTAGAAACAATTACTGTCGGGTGGACACTGCCACCATTTCACTGTATATTTATTCAGGAATACTGATTGGGCTATTGAGTAAGGTCCGAATAGCCCCCTACAAAATTTGACAAAATCATCAGGCTGCATACGTCGACATACAGACTGCACAATCCAGACGTTGTTCACACTATTCAACAATGTCCAATGATGCCCAGATTTTGCAGTTCTGCCACCAAATGGCCCTGAATTTAGTCCTGATTTTAACCTGAACAAGCGCTGCCAAATAGCTATAATCCAGACCCAAATGTTTCACATCTTGGCCCAGATTTAAAAAAATCTGAATTAGTGCCCACTGGCTGTGATCACAGCGGCAGGCAAATAGTTAAAACCCTTGGTGACTTAAATAGTGTTTTTATTAGAAATAAATATATAACGGGGTTAGAATCCATAGAGTTAAAAAAAAAAAAAAATCATTGTATAATAAAAACTTTATCATTGAGACCTCCATATTTCTATATGAGGTTGAGGTATTTCTAATAAGCATACAAAACTAGCGACTGGATAGCTATTGCTAGAAAGGACACATCCCATACGGATAAGGCCTGTTAAACAAAAGGGGGTATAGCCGACCCAATGCAGGCCAGCAACGACCCCAGCCCCAGCGCCAACGCGACTGGCACCAGGGCCAAGCGCAGAGGGAGCAGTAAAAGAACACAGCACTGCACAGCCGAGGCAAGGACATGGGGACTCCTATATCATTAAAGAGACCTGGCTGAATCGTGAGTACCAACAAAGGGAACACATACAAGAGCACCACACAAGTACGCGGGAATTGGGGTGGGGGTCGGGGGATCAAGAGCCACAGGGACACTGTACCATAACTACAGCATACCGGAGGGGACCACAACACACGAGGCACAACCAGAGACTTGACCCTTAACGCATGCAAAGCAGGGAGGGCACCAGGACATTTGGAGAGGGGGACAGGAGAGGGAGATGTGGCAAAATTGCTAGTATGGGGAATGCAGGGAACATGCTGGCGCAAAGACTGATTCGTTTGCAACCACACTGAAAAAAGAATAAGGACGCAATTCCTGAGGGTTCTCGTGCCGTGTATTGATGCTGTACTAACGGATGCATAGTAGGGGGCAAGGGGAGGGGAGGGACAGGGGTTATGGGACACATGAACCACAAGGGTAAGATGGAAAACCACAGAACGAGATGGGTAGGGGAGAGGAGAGACAAAGGAAAGCGGAAGGGGAAAAAGGGGGGAGCACCAGGGGGTGGGGACAGCATGGAAGGGGGGGGGGGAAACAGACAGAAAACAAGCAGCAGCACAACGACAGGGAGAGAGGAGGATGGGAGAAGGGAACCATATTAAAAGGTCGGGGGAGGAGGGAGAGAAATAAATATACAGAAAGACAGTGACGACAAAAATCTGTATCTTTGTACAACAACAACACCAAAAAAAAAAAGAAAAAAAAAAAAAAGAGGGAGGGAACAAAGGAGCAAACGCAGTCAAAACCCCCAGGCGAAGGGACACAAAACAGCTCAAGGTGAAGGAAGCCAGGGCACCATCTAGCCTCCAAGAAAGGCTGATGTAGGATCACACACGCACACCATGGACATACGACGCCCACATCTGGGGGACGAGGACCTGGAAAGGCATGCATAGGTAGGAACAGCTGTCACACAAAGCGAATAGTTAGATGTAAGCAGGAACAATACAACAAGGAGCAAGAAAGGCAAGTTGTACGATGTTCATAGATAAACGTGCGATGTTCGGCACACACTAGAAACCCAAACACACTAACTCACACCAGCCTCCAGGCCGACCAAGAGCAGCGCACCAGATAACAATCCAGGTTCTAGAGCCTGCACAGGGCAAGTATCTGACGACAACACAGCTACCGAATGAAGCTTGGTGACATAGGACATATCACAACCCCATCACCGTCCCGTACCTTGAGGCAACAGGTGACAAGCCATGGGCTAGGGAATCACAGATACACCCAAACCAAACGAAGGAACCCCACAGGCCTGATACGACTTACAAGGCACCCCATGCCAAAGCATCCCCACCTCATGAGACAGCTAGGCCCCGTTCAAGCCGGCAGCAAACAAACCAATCCACACACACGAGCCGATAACAGACAAAAGAGGTGGCCCTGCCGCTCCACACACTCAGAGACCCATACTCACTACAAAAAAAAAAAGGCACGGAGCAGGAACTCCGAGTACATAGCAACTTAAGAGATAACAGACCAAGGACTACATATAGTACTAACAAATATACATATACCCACTAGACGTCATGAAGCGGACTGAGCCGCCGCAGACAGAAAGCCCGACACCCCCACAGGCATAGGACACAGGAATCCCCACCTGCCAGGGGACACACAACTCCCGGAATAGACCCAGCCCCCTTACAGGCCGGGCCACACGGTCAAACACCCGGGACGACTGTCCATTATCCTACAGAACTACAGAGACCATACAGGCGTCGTAAATAGATGCAGGACACGTACCAACTCTAACCATACACAAGGCGGTGCAACACCACACACTCACATACTCCCCAACCGTACCCCACAACAGACTTGTCCACCCCTGTGGCCGCCCAGAGGATGCCAGACTTGGGACCAGGTGGATTTGCCAGGAAAGACCTAACCATACTCTCCTATAATGTACATGGTTTAAATGTCAGGGAGAAGTGCAAAAGACTTTTGCGGGACCTGAAACACTACAAGGCATCGATAGCGTTTCTCCAAGAAACGCACTTTCAAGAAGGCAGAGCACCGGCACTGAAGGATCGCAATTTTAGAATTGGATACTTTAGCAACAACCCGGATAGACGCACGCTGGGACTAGATATCCTATTCTCCAGCAGAACCCCATACACAGAACAAGCCACCGTCAGATGCAAACAAGGCAGATATATCTTCACCAAAGGCACAATCCTCGAACAAACCTACACGTTCGCCAATGTCTACGCCCCGAACACGAAACAGAACCACTTCCTCTGGAACGCACTAACTACCCTGATGAAGTTCGCAGAAGGCACTCTGATCATGGGGGGAGATCTGAATCTGACCCAGATCAAGATTCTACATCTGCTCACGGAACAACCCCGCATAACAGACAGGCAAACACACTCCGCCTATTACACCAACACCAATTGGTAGACTGCTGGTGAGCGCTGAACCTAATAACGCGGGACTATACCTTCTTCTCACAGACTCACTCAACTTACACGAGGCTAGACTACTTCCTAATGTCACACCACAACTTGGCCCTACTCAAAGCAGCAGAAATCCTGCCAAGAACGTGGTCAGACCACTGCCCGATCCACATACGGATGAAATCACCACTATTCAAGCCCAGACAGATGTCCTGGAGACTGAACGAATCAATCCTATCAGATGAGACAGTGACGGACAAAATAGGACAAATAATACGAGACTACTTTCAAGACAACGAAACAGAGGACGTGACACCAATGACCTGCTGGGAGGCACACAAGACGGTAGCACAGGGCCAGATTATAGCAATTTGCGCGACCCGCAAAAAGGCGTCAGTATGGGAAATAACCGAGCTCAGCAGAGAAATCTCAATCCTAGAAGCCAGACATAAACGAACCCTAGAAACGACGATATACAGAGACCTAACAGATAAGCGAAACCAACTAACCACGCACCTTAACAGAATGATCCAACGCTCTTAACAACACTACAGACACATGATACATGAACACGGAGATAAATGCAGGAGACTGCTAGCCAACCTCTTGAAGCAATGTAGAACACAACTGTATATACCGAAAATAAAAAACGCACAGCAACAAATCAGACATCTCCCTGACCAAATAGCAATGGAGTTCCAACGGTACTACCAAGACCTTTACCACCTGCGCAAGGAAGCACAGGACAACCAGAGACCTCAAAACGGCGGACATACGCAAATACTTGGACTCAGCAAACATACCAGAAATAACGGAAGCATACAGAGAAGCACTGGAAGCGCCTATAACACCCGAAGAATTGGCATACGCCATCAAGAAAGCAAAAACGGGCAAGGCACCGGGACCAATACTACAAGGTCTTCACACAAGAGGTTCAACCAAAACTACTTAAAGCCCTGAACTCCATCCAGGACGGAGCTACACCGTCAGCCTAGTTCACCTCGGCGAACATTACCCTGCTCCCAAAGGAGGGCAAAGACCCGACATTGTGCCCAAACTACCGCCCAATTTCAGTGCTTAATACGGATATCAAACTCCTGGCAAGCATTCTGGCAATGCGACTAGCGCTGCTACTGCCAGACACGATCCACCCATACCAGACAGGGTTTATCCCGGGCAGGGAGGTGAGGGACAACACCATAGCACACGCCAGAGCACACAAGACACAGACCCTCCTTCTGTCGACAGACGCGGAAAAGGCATTCGACAGGGTGGACTGGGACATGATGTTTGCGACCCTCCAGGCCTTCGGGATGGGACCAAACTACCTTACGTGGATACAGGCACTTTACACCTGCCCAACGGCACAAATCCGGATGAACGGAGCACTGACAAACCCGTTCCGGATATACAATGGAACCAGACAGGGCTGTCCACTCTCGCCCCTGATCTTCGCGTTGACGCTGGAGCCATTTCTGCGGAGGATCAGACGGAACATAAACATACAGGGCCTCAAAATTGGAACAACACAACACAAAACTCTAGCGTATGCGGACGACATGCTGTTTGTAGTCACACATCCAAAGACCACCTTGCCGGCGATACAGGCAGAGTTCGAAGAATATGGTTGGATCTCCAACCTCCAAATAAATTACTCTAAGTCGGAGATTCTCAACCTCACCATCAACCACGCCCATAAACAAACACTCCAAAGACAACACCAATACCGCTGGTGTGACCAACGCATGCGGTACCTAGGGGTATGGCTCACACCCAACCCGGCAGACCTCTACACCCACAATTATCTCCCTATACTAAAAAAAGCAACGGAGGAACTAAATAAATGGAGCTCCCTCTACGCGTCGTGGCTAGGCAGAGTAAATGCCGTCAAGATGACGCTACTACCGAAACTTCTCTTCGTGTTACAAACTGTGCCGATACTAGCTCCGCAAACTTTCTTCAAGACACTATGGGCAGAGGTCCGTACGTTCATATGGAAGGGCAAATCCCCACGCATAGTGCACGATCAATTAACCCTTCCTAAACTCCGAGCATAAACATATCACCAACCCATTTGTGAAGATCTGGCACAGGCAAGGCCCGCTACTGCCACTAAGAGGCAACCCAGAATTCCCAGCGGGAGATCACGGCCCCACGCACAGCAACTCCCCGCATGATGGATGTCCTCCAACAACCATTTAATGTTCGCTCCGTCACTGACCTCTTTCCGAACAGGACACTTACCTTTTCACACACACACTGGCGAGAGCACAAATAGCCAGATATGCTCAGTCCATCCCGCAAAAACCATCATTGCTAAGAGAACCTACGCAATTCGAACTACTCTGTACGCAAGATAAGAAAACACCACGTGCCATTTCGCAGATATATGCAATGTTGGTCACAGGTAGGTACCTACTGGCACCCCCCTGCATGAGAAACTGGGAGGTAGACCTAGACGAACCCATGACAGAAGCAGACTGGGACAAAAGTGTCACCCTGATACAAAAAACGCATAGCTCAGCTAGGTTGCAAGAAAACTCATACAAAATATACACCAGATGGTACTTGACACCGACAGTGCTCCACGCCAGGAATTCGGAAATCCCAGACACGTGCTGGAGATGCGGGGAGGAGAGAGGCACGTTCATACACACCTGGTGGACGTGCCCACGTCTCTGACCGTTCTGGAACACAATTAGAGATGTAATACACGAAATAACAGATGAAATGCTCCAAGATCCCCAGCAACATTCCTCCTTCATCACACAGATATGTCTCTTAAACGCGGCCAAAGCAACTGTCCCAATTTACTGGAAGCAGGCTACCACACCCCCAATCGCAAGATGGGTGGAAGAGGTAGAAGCAACCAGGAAATTTGAAGACATAAAGGCAACCACCCCGAACCTCAGAGATCGCTACACCAAACTCTGGTTTCACTGGATTAGACTAACCGCCTCCGACGCTTTTCAGAACCGCATGGCGAAACAGTAGGCGGGGAAGGAAAGTATTAACCCAAAAGAAATACAGCACCGACGTAAAGAGATGGCGAAAGGCAAACCAGGACGGCGACGGGGGATGGAAACACCCACCTTCATCCCCTCATAAAACTCAGATACGCCCAGACAAGACACGACCTGCTCATACTTATAGACATACATCCAAAAAACTACTGAAGTCGAGACAACGAACGGGCCAGACCGTAACTTATATAAGAGAACACACACGAGCAGCCTCATGCCGAGCACACATGGAAAACACATCCAACCGGAGGGCACGCTTCAACGGACATATCACAAACGCGGAGACTACAAACTGCGCTACCTGAAACCTGGCCCAATACAAACACACAGACAGTCACAACATAAAGCCGACAGCCACAGCAGCCAGGCAGGAAACAAAAGGAGTTGCGAAACCACACAACCCACGCACCACACACACCCACAGTCCAAACACCAACCTACATGATCCATCCCAGACCCCACAGGACAACACTACAACCATTTACTCAAGTGAATCCACCTAAACATGACCACACCACGACCAAATGGAAGGTACACACAGAAAATGACTCCAGAACACCGGAACACAAAGACGCAACACTAGAGGCAGACACACAGAGCTCAGGTGAGAAGCAACACAACACAGGTAAAACCACAGACACATACAATAGAGGAGACACAGACCTAATGTAAACTGCTCTAACATATCTAGCAGAGGGAACAGCTAAGAAACGTACATAGCCAATACAACCCACAAGAGCTCAAAGCAGCAGGCAAAGGGCAGGAGCACACAACTGCTTACCCACAGCTCTAACCAAAACGAATAGGCACCACAGATTATTAGAGTGTAAAGCGCAAAATACCCAACTATGAACCTAAAGGTTAAGTTAAACTGGCTATGACAAATTTGCTTCTGCGAAGGCAACCGAAGGCGCATACTGTGTAAACAAATGCTTCAGCCCCTGCGAGGGTGACGACTAGATATATTGCAAATCAGTTTGATACACTAAACCAATGCCTAAGCCCCTGCGTGGGCAATGACGTGCTTAAATACAGACCAGTTTGATTCATGCATTTATGTTATGAAACCAATAAAAATATTCAAAACAAAAGGGGGCATAGCCCCCCCCCCCACCACCACAGCCCCACATGCGGGCATCTGGGGGGACTTTCAAATAAATAATGGGGGATGGACAGTGATCAAAAGCTGGTGGGGGCTATTATAATATAAAGGTGCGGTAATCTAGTGTCTTCCCCAGCCCTCCCCATCCATGAGCGATGGAGGGGCAAGGGGGCCTGGAAATAATTACACAATGAGGTTTTAATGGCATTGCCACCCCTAATGTCCCCTCTCCCCCAGGGGATAGCGATCCCCAGATCCCTAGCCACTCCCCCATTAAAATTAAATAACTTTACCAATCCTCCTTCACCGCAATAATAGTGAAGGGTAACGATTAAAAGTAATACCTGTAATATAAAATATTATACTTACCATGAGAAGTCTCCAGTCTTCCAACTCTTCTTTTCTTCTGCCCAAAAAACAGACAAAGTTAAAATCCATAATTCCATGTTACATATTTTGGTATTGGTTATTGTTTTACCAGTACATCAGTAGGTATATCATTGGGGCAAATAAAAATTCTAGGGAAGCAATAGATCATCAATATTTTCTCTTCGGTATTCTAAAACGTAGGTGACCTCTCAATAACAGAATTGCTAAATTCTACGCTATATTCTAAGCCAGGATTGCCCACACATACACCACACACATCACATATATCCAGCACACACATTACATACAGTCAGCACACACATCATAAACATGACATACACAGCCAACCTACACCACACTTGCACCAAGCAGCCAGTACTCCCTGCACACATAACACACAGCCAGTACGCACTATGGGTCAATGTGTGTGTGTGTGTGTGTGTGTGTGTCAGCATGCATGTGCCAGTGTCAGTGTGCAGTGTATTTGTTTATGGGTCAATGTGTCAGTAT